AAAGAAAAAAAGATATTTGATAAAGAGTCAACATCTAAATCTGATTTCAAAGCATTTAAAAAAAATTGTAACTATAAGGACATTTCATATTACAATGAAACAATACATTACAGACCCTACTATTAATCCTATTAGTATTCTGTAATCTTAGCTAAAATAACAACATATGAAAAAAGAGGTGCCAAAATTGACAAAGAGGAGGTCAGAATGATAATTATTTGCAAATGATATGGGCTGCATACAAAGAATATTGAAGACTATCAGAATATTAGAACTAATGAAAATTCATTAAGACAATGGGATATAACCTTAGTATGTATAGAAGTCAAAACTAGGTGAGAAAGGAAAGGAGTAAAAGGGGAATAAGTAGCTGGAGCCTGCTGTCTCAGTAAACTAAGTCTTATGCTAATAACAAGATAACCAACCATTTAATACTAAAGAATGTCCATTTTATATAATGTTTACAGTGATTTATATATGGTTAACTGTCTCTTTAAATGCTGTATTATATTTTTATAACTTCCAGTTCAGTTGCTCAGTCGTGTGCAACTCTTTGCAACCCCATGGACTGCAGCACGCCAGGCCTCCCTGTCCATCACCAACTCCCGGAGTCTACGCAAACTCATGTCCATTGAGTCGGTGATGCCATCCAACAATATCATCCTCTGCCGTTCCCTTCTCCTCTCCCCTTCAATCTTTCCCAGCATCAGGTTCTTTTCAAATGAGTTAACTCTTCGCATCAGGTGGCCAAAGTATTGGAGTTTTAGCTTCAACATCAGTCCTTCCATTGAACATTCTATAACTTTAGACAATTCCTAAATTAGAACTACTACATTATTGTAACTAAGAAGTTTACCCAGAATTCAGCTTGTATTGTTTTTCAAGTTTCAACTCTTAATTTGGTTAGTCTGTGACTTCTTTCCCACCTAACCCCCAATATAATTAAATGAAAGCTGACTGTTGATCCGTAAGATTCCTTCTGTCTCTATCTTCTTCTCTCTCTTTTTTATCCTCCCTGTCTGGAATAAACACATGCTTAGCTCCACTAAACACTCAGACCTAAAAAAGTTGCTCGTATCTAATCATCTATCTTCAAGGCTTTAAAAGTAGATTCAGAGGCATTTAATGACTTGCCCGAGGTCATGGAAAGGTGATTGAGATCAACCCACATCCTAGTCTTTCACTACACTGCCAATATTCTAACAGATGTCCACAATTTCAAGCTTTCATTGTTTCTGCGTGTGCGCTAAGTCACTTCAGTCGTGTCCAACTCCATGTGACCCTACGAACTGTATGTAGCCCGCCATGCTTCTTTGTCCATGGGCTTCTACAGGCAAGAATACTGGAGTGGGTTGCCATGCCCTCCTCCAGAGGATCTTCCCGACCCAGGCATGGAACCCACATCTCTGATGATGCCTAAATTGGCAGGCAGGTTCTTTACCATTAGTGCCACCGACGAAGCTCTTAACTGTTTCTCAATCATATTAAATTGTGAGATTCAGTTAAGGAACTAAAATAACCCCTGCAGTTTGCGTTCCTTTTAGAAAGCACTCACTCTTTATTTCATTCATCAAATATTTACTGAAGCCTACTATGTGCAACCAGTCCATCCTAAAGGAGATCAATCCTGAATATTCATTGGAAGGACTGATGCTGATGCTCCAATACTTTGGCCACCTGATGCAAAGAACTGACTCATTGGAAAAGACCCTGATACTGGGAAAGATTGAAGGCAGGAGAAGGGAATGACAGAGGATGAGATGGTTGGATGGCATCACTGATTGGACAGACATGAGTTTGAGCAAGCTCTGGGAGTTGGTGATAAACAGGGAAGCCTGGCGTGCAGCAGTCCATGGGGTTGCAAAGAGTCAGACAAAACTAAGCAACTAAACTGAACTATCTGCAAGGAGCTGTTCTAAGCCCTAGGGTGAAACAAAATAGGCCAAAAAAAAAAAAAATTGTTTTTTATTCAACTCAGAAGAATACAGTTAATGTAAATAGAATCCAGCTCACAGCTCTTCAAATTAATCTAGTCTCTGGAAGAATGCCTTCTATTGCTGTCCTAAAGAATTCTCTTTTGGGACCTGAATCAATGAACCAAATTTCTGAGATGAGAATCCTACACTTCAGGTAAATATCAAGCAGAAAGGCCGAATATACACATTCAAGACCAAAATTATGACAGGACTTAACCTTAGCTAATCTGCTGCCAACTCCAATTCACCTGTATCATCTTAAACCTCAGAAAAACAGCTCTTTGCAGTTTCACTTAATCTCACAATCCCCTGCCAGAGCCAAACTTGAGCAATCAAGCAAAGAACACATCAGAAGAAAAGACACACCTTGCCTTACCGTACATCGTGACAAGCTACTCTGTAGGTAAACAGAAGACCTGTGAGTTTTGTGCTACTTAAAAAAAAAAAAAAAGATCTGAGTGTTGTGCTTTTTTTTTTTTTAATTATAATCATACATCCTTTGGGAAGAAAAAAAAAATCTCACAAAATAATAAACTGTTCCAACAACCAGACTATAGCTCTTCACATGAAGCTAATATTATACATGAGCATACAACACTTTTTTAAAGAGCAGAAAATAGGCTAAAATTTTGGTTATGCAATATGCACTAGACACTTCTCGTTTTACTAATAATTCAGTTTCCATTTTAAAAACAAAGAGTTTCACTTTTGTTTCTTCTAAAGTAGTTCACTTCCTAGTTACTCTTGAAGTCTACTTCCTAGTTACTAGCTTAGTGGATTTTAATGTCAGTTCATATGAAGTAGATGGTTTAAAGTATTTGAACCTGTATGAATATTTTAAAATAGTACTAATATGAGTAACAAAGCATATTAATATGGCAAGCACATTAAATGTTTCTTCAATACATAAAGACCATGACAGAAGTATAAAAATAAATCCAACTGTATTGCTCTAAAAAATGTCCACAATCTCAACGAGATGATACGACACATACTAAAAACAGTGTCAAAATGATAGCATTTTAGACTAACTACTCCCTTTGCGTAAGGAGGGGACTCATTAAACTAGGAAACTGGACTTGATGGCTAAGATCACTTTTAGTAATTTGATTCTTGACTCAAATTTATGCATAAACCTCTGAAATGGGCAGATCTGCATTATCTAAGTACATTAGTCAAAAATAAATTTAAAAAACTCACAAATTTTTTGCCATTGTTCAAATCTGACATGTGAAAAATATGAGCTACATTTCCCACTTTGAGAAAAAAAAAGAAAGGCTTTAATACTCAACACTGAAGAGAACTACAAACCCAAGTCTACTAAATATTGCTCAGTATACTATGGCCACAAGATCCTCCTCTAAGTATTAACACTTTGTCACATACTCAACATCAAAAACTAAAAGTTCAAGGTATTCAAAACAGAATGGAGGGGGTTGGGAGATAAACTGTTCTAAACTCCCATTATTAAAACTAGGATTATTTCACTGTAAATAAACTGCAGTCTGCAATGTCTTCTTAATTAACCCAGTCACTCTTGTTTAGCTGCTAAGTGGTGTCCTACTCTTTGCCACTCCATGGCCCCATGCCACCCCAGAAGCCCCCTCAGGTTCCTCTGTCCATGAGATTTCCCAGGCAAAAAGATACTGAAGTGGGTTGCCATTTCCTTCTCCAAGGGATCTTCCCAACCTAGGGACTGAACCAGAGTCTTCTGCATTGCAGACAGATTCTTTACCATCGAGCCACCTGGGACGCCCAAATTAACCAATAACTATTAACTAACACACAAGAGTTTCAAGACAACTTCCCCAAGGTGCCTAAAATAACAACGCAGAATGCTCGCTTTCCAAAATTCTTGAGCATCTTCAGTTACTTCAGGTACTACCATAAAATTCTAAAAATATCTCAAAGCAAAAACTTAGCATGCTGTGAGTATATACAGTCCATTTTATGACAGTAGGCCTTATTCTAAAATCAAGCACAGGTACGATATAACGATGCCAAAAAACTACTCATATCAACACCACAGGGTGGGGCATTTACACTACTCTCCCAGAAAAATCGAACAGTGCTAGCAGCTTTTCACAGTAAACCCTGGTCACCACCATAATTCCAAGACGAGGAAAGTAATGTTTTCCTTTTGCCCAAAATGTTTTTCACACCAATAACCCCCTCCCAAAAAATTAAGCCATAGCAAAGGACTCTCCAGGATATGGTGCAATTCGTGATAGTGCACTTGAGATTCCGAAAGCAAAATCGAGGGGGGAAAAGTACCATCTCTCACTTCAGTATACTTAATGGAAAAGACTTGAAGCTTCACAAACCAAGTTTTGTTTTTGTTTTTTTTTAAGGGAGCAATCATTTTAATGTGTGACCGAGGCAAGAGTAAAGGGTGAGGATGGAACAAGGTCAAACTTAGGGGACAAAATATACCTGAAATAAGCATAGCCAGAAAGGTCTCCTTCTTAAGGGACAATTTCTATATTAAAAAAAAAAAAAGAACAAAAAGAAAGAAAAAGGAACCAACCAAATCCTCTACTTTTACATTGAGTCCACCTGGTTCCTGTACCTGCCCCTCCAGACAAGCAACTCAATTCCGGCGGAGACTCTTTTGCAAAATAGCAGACCTGGAAGGCTCCTGTCTTGGAAAGAAAACTGGGTTCACAAGGGATGACAACCTGCTACTCCTTTTTCTTAAAAAAATAAAAGAAGACGAGGAAGATAAAGTTTAATTAGGAAGTCATACAGAGGAGTGTAGGAATGTGAGGTCGCGCTCAACAAATACCCGGCACCGCCGGTTACAGGAAAACAATTGGCAAGAAGGAAGTGGACTGAAACCCGCTAACTACACCCCGCTTTCCACACGCAGCCCGGAACTGGGCGCGACGCCCCCAAAGCGGGCAGGGGCGGGGGACGGCGGCGCGGGGAAAGCTGGGGCCGCGGAGGCCCGGGCGGCTGGGAGGTCCCAGCCGCGGCGGGGGAGGGCGGCACCTCGGGCGGAGGAGCGGGGCCGGGTCTCCTCACCTTCTGCGCCGCGCTCTGCTGCAGCACGTTCTGCTCCACGGTCATGGCCCCCGCCGCGCCGGCGTCCGGCTCCCCGAGCCTCCGCTGGCCCTGGCTGCCACGCTCCGCCGAGCTCCAGGGAGCGACGCGGACGGCCGGCGAGGACAGCGCCCCCGCCAGCCAGGCGAGAAGGCGACGGCGGCCGGCGTGCGCGGGCACCTCGGGCTGGCGGCGAGGCGCGGACACCGAGGGCCACGGCGGCGGCCCCACGACTCCGCGCGGCCCGCCTCAGCGCGGCTCGGCGGCCGCGGCCCGGGCCATGAGCGGGCGGTGGACGCTGGGGGGCGGGAGGGCGCTAGCAAGCCCGGACGCGTCACGCGCGCGCGCGCGCTCCTCCGCTGGCGGCTCGCGGGCCACTGCGGGGAAGGGAAAGGGGACAGAGGGAGCGGCCGGCCAGAATGGCGTTGTCCTCTTCCCACCGCAACTCCTCCTCCCCTCCCCTCTTGTCCCCACCCCTCCCGTCCCTCAACCGCCGTCACCGCCCCCTCCTGGCGGCTCCTCCCCCGCCAAGCCCCGCCCTCCGGCCGCCCTAACCCTACATTGTGACCCCGCGGGCGGCGAAGTGGGAGGCGGGGCCGCTCCGGAGCCCCACCCCCCGTCCCGGAGTCCCAGCGGGTGGGGCGAGCGAGCGCCACGCGGGTCGGGCTTCGGAGCCGCCCCTGCGGCAGGTTGCGCGACGCGTACGCGCGGCTCCGCGATGCTCCAAGCCAGGGCCCGAGGGCATCGTGCCTCTCCGTGCCCAGAATTTGTCGGATTTCCGAATCCCTCTAAGACAAACATTTTCCTCCAGGCCCCTGAACGTCCCCAGACTTCTATGGGTCCCGAATCCCTGCTTTTTTCTGAGTCTCTGGTCCTCTCCCCAGCCCTTTCTAGGAATTTCACAAGAAGTAAACTTGCCCGAAGGGAAAAGTCAACTGTGATTTAAGCAAAAGGCTGTCAGAAGGCCTTATGCTGGAATGTACTTTTCTCCGCGACTAATCATTAAGTAGTTAATATTGATAGTCTCTGTCAACTTCTTTCTTTCAAACGTGTGCCAGTCACTGGCAGGCTCTTAAGAAATAAGGTTTAGTTTCCTAAGGTTTGACATAAATGAAATACGGTCTATTCAACAAGAAAATGTTACAAAAATATCACTGCCTAAATGGTACAGGATATCCCAGTTGCCAAACAATTATCAGTTAACCACCCTTCTTGAAATATTTGCTTATATATGGAATAGTAAGGAAAACCTAATATTGAAAAAGCGGTCTATAACTTTAAAAATATCTTGAGTTTCACAAGCTAACCTGGGGATGGGACGCAAATAGGATGTGAGGATGCCATATGCCGGGAGAGAAGGAATAATCAGTGGTTCAGTTCAGTTCAGTCATTCAGTCTTGTCCGACTCTTTGCGACCCCATGAACCGCAGCACTGTCCATCACCAACTCCTGGAGTTTGCCCAAACTCATGTCCATTGCGTCAGTGATGCCATCTAATCATCTCATCCTCTGTCCTCCCCTTCTCCTCCTGCCTTCAGTCTTTCCCAACATCAGGGTCTTTTCAAATGAGTCACCTCTTCACATCAGGTGGCCAAAGTATTGGACTGCTTGCAGTCCAAGGGACTCTCAAGAGTCTTCTCCAACACCACAGTTCAAAACCATCAGTTCTTCAGTGCTCAGCTTTCTTTATGGTCCAACTGTCACATCCATACATGGCTACTAGAAAAACCATAGCCTTGACTAGATGGACCTATGTTGACAAAGTAATGTCTCTGCTTTTTAATATGCTGTCTAGGTTGGTCAAAACTTTCCTTCCAAGGAGTAAGCGGCTTTTAATTTCATGGCTGCAATCAATATCTTCAGTGATTTTGGAGCCCAGAAAAATAAACTCAGCCTCTGTTTCCACTGTTTCCCCATCTATTTGCCATGAAGTGATGGGCCCAGATGCCATGATCTTAGTTTTCTGAATGTTGAGCTTTAAGCCAACTTTTTTACTCTCCTCTTTCACTTTCATCAAGAGGTTCTTTTGTTCTTCTTCACATTCTGCCATAAACGTGGTGTCATCTGCATATCTTAGGTTATTGATATTTCTCTCAGCAATCTTGGTTCCAGCTTGTGCTTCATCCAGCCCAGTGTTTCTCATGAGGTACTCTGCATATAAGTTAAATAAGCAAGGTGACAATATACAGCCTTGACCTACTCCTTTTCCTATTTGGAACCAGTCTGTTGGTCCATGTCCAGTTCTAACTGTTGCTTCCTGACCTGCATACAGGTTTCTCAAGAGGCAGGTTAGGTGGTCTGATATTCCCATCTCTTTCAGAATTTTCCACAGTTTACTGTGATCCACACAGTCAAAGGCTTTGGTATAGTCAGTAGAGCAGAAATAGATGTTTTTCTGGAACTCTCTTGCTTTTTCGATGGTCCAGCAGATGTTGGGAATTTGATCCCTGATTCCTCTGCTTTTTCTAAAACCAGCTTGAACATCTGGAAGTTCACGCTTCACGTATTGCTGAAGCCTGGTTTGGAGAATTTTGAGCATTACTTTACTAGCATGTGAGATGAGTGCAATTGTGCGGTAGCTTGAGCATTCTTTGGGATTGGAATGAAAACTGACCTTTTCCAGTCCTGTGGCCACTGCTGAATTGATATACTCACAAATGCAATATACACATAAGCAAATCTGGGTATAGTTTTTAATCTGATTTTTTTTTAAACCAGTTTGGTATGTGGTCATTGAAATATTTTTTTTTATTTTATTTAATAATCATGAATTACTGTAACTGCTAACGTTGTGCACTTTGCAAACCATCTTTGCTCTGTGCCTTAGAGGTAGGTCTTCAACCACCTTTTGTGGTCTTTGCTTTCAGTTTTCATATTTATTTGCTCATTTGATGTTGACAGATTACAATTTTTATTTATTGCTCTCTTACATCTTTGATAGAAGACTTTGAAAAGTTGTGAACTGGTTGGAAACTCAGAATTTTAAGGAATGATAGAACAGTTCTGATAGAATGCATACATTTTTAATGAGAACATGCCTGGTGCTAAGCCGCTTCAGTTGTTTCTGACTTTGTGACCCTATGGGTCATAGCCTGCCCTGCTCTGCCATCCATGGAATTCTCCAGGCAAGAATACTGGAGTGAGTTACCGTGCCCTCCTCCAAGGGATCTTCCTGACCCAGGGACTGAACCTACCACTCTTACATCTGGGCTTCTGAATTGGTAGGCAGATTCTTTACCACTAGCACCACCTGGGAAGCCCTTTTATGAGAATACTGAGTCCTGACAAGGATAACTTTTCAAGGAAAGCTTACTAGAGCCCATTTTCCCTCATTTATAAATGAAAATTCTTTCCACATATCAACTTCAAGTTTGTCTGTATTATAGATGTTCTTAAAATTTAGTCTATCCACTTCTTGACATTTGAATTTAAGAAAGTTCAATTTAACATAAATATCTACCAATGTGGTTTCAATAAGATATTACCAGATACTAAAGTTTAGTTTCTAGATTTTGGCAATAGATACTCCTCTGAGTTAGACTTTTTACTTCCACAAATAAATTATCTTACCGGTGCTTTCTATGTATTTAGCAAATAAAACTATTTATATGGTAGTTTGTACCTGCCCACTTTGATCATTCACAGATTACTTCTAATGGTTTCCTATTTAAATTTTTTTTAAAATTTTACTTGTGGTTTTGTAGAATCTTCAGGAGCAAATTTCATGTTTCATTACAGATTTTTTTTTAGAAAGCATACAATTGGAATGAATAGAGTGTGAAAATTTGAGATAAATTTACACATAAGACACATTGCGAGATAGCGTAATTCTTAAAAAAAAAGAAAAAAAAAAGTGTGCCCCAATGTCAGTTTTGCTGTTCATGAGTCAGCCTTAATATGGATGGTTGCTGGAATTTTATGTCTTCACTATTTGTGTATGTGTGTGCTTAGTCGCTCAGGCATGTCTAACTCTTTGCAATCCTTTGGACTGTAGCCTGCCAGGCTTCTCTGTCCATGGATTTCCCAGGCAATACTGGAGTGGGTTGTCTTTTCCCTCTCCACATTATATTAATTAATAATTCCTAAATCATCGCATTGCTCTGGACTGTTGACACTTTGGTAAACAAGTGATAAATTTCATATAAAATTAAATGTTTAATTCTTTAAATTTATTTTTCAATTGAATATAGTTGATTACAATGTTATGTTAATTTTCTGCTGCAAAGTGACTCAGTTATACAGATATATACTTTTTTTTCATCTTATTTTCCATTATGCTTTATCCCAGTATAGTTCCCTGTGCTATACAGTAGGACCTTATTGTTTAGCCATTCTATGTGTGGTAGTTTGCATCTGCTAACCCCAAACTCTCAATCCAACCCTTTCCCATGCCCCTCCCCCTTGGCAACCATAAATCTGTTCTCTATCTCTGTCTGTTTCTGTTCTATAGATAGTCTTATTTGTGCCATATTTTGGATTCCACATAATTGTGTTACCATATTATAGTTGTCTTTCTGATTTATCTCACTTACTATAACAATGTCTAGTTTCATCCATTTTGCTGCAAATAGAATTACTTCATTCTTTCTTATGGTTGAGTAATACTCCATTATGTGTGTGTCTATATGTACCACATTTTCTTTATCTATTCAGTCATCTGTTGATGAACATTTAAGCTCAGCAGTAAAGAATCCACTTGCAACACAGGAGATGTGGGTTCACTGGGTTTGATCCCTGGGTCAGGAAGACCCACTGGAGGAAGAAATGGCAAGCCACTGCAGTATCCTTGCCAAGAAAATCCCATGGACAAGGGAGCCTAGCAGGCTACAGTCCATAGGGCTGCAAAAGTAGGATGCAACCGGGCAACAAAGCCCACAAATGTTCAGCTTCAGACACCAAGTCTGCTTTTCTATCGAAGATCAAAATATTGTTTCTAAGATTATTCCCATCCCCACTGCCCCACCCCGCCCTAGTCAGTCTTTCCCATAAGGAAGCTTCCACAAGCCTCTTATCCTTATCCATAAGAGGGCAGAAAGAATGAAAACCACAATCACAGAAAACTATCAAACTGATCACATGGATCACAGACGTCTAACTCAATGAAACCATGAGCCATGCCATGAAGGGCCACCCAGGATGGATGGGTCATGATCGAGAATTCTGACGAAACGTGGTCCACTGGAGAAGGGAATGGCGAACCATTTCAGTATTCTTGCCTTGAGAACCCCATGAACAGTATGAAAAGGCGAAAAGATATGACACTAAAAGAAAAAAAAAAAAAAGCAAGAGAGTTCCAGAAAAACATCTACTTGTGATTTATTGACTACACCAAAGTCTTTGACTATGTGGATCACAGCAAACTGTGGAAAATTCTT